CACGGGACTGCCTACCTCCCAGGCGCTCCCAGGCGCCCGTCGGGTAGGCCAGCCAGCTGTACAGCCGTGAAGCACGGGACTAGCTACTTCCTAGGTGCTCAAACCTGCAGACGTCTTGCTGTTTGGGTGGAGCGTGCTAGGCGCTTTAGGAGAGGTCGGGTAGTTCACTCGCGTCAACGGCAAGTAGTTGAATAAGATTTTTATTTTGTTGATATTGTTGTAACTTTTAGGTCAAATATTTTAAAGGTTACACTTGTCTTATTCCCCTTTCAAAGTCGCATTGTTTTTGTTTGCATTACATGTTCGGGGAGCTCGTTGTCGAACGTTCGAAATGATTTGCTCAAAATGCATTTTTTTGTGTTTGTCCCTGCAGGGTCCGGGTCGGGCGACAGCGGCGTGTGCTCACCGTGTTCGCCGTGCTCGCACGGGCCGCTGCTGCTGCTGCACCCGCAGGGCTACCACCTGCAAGGGTACCACCCGCAAGGGTACCGCCATCCGCACCCGCACCTCAGCTTCATGGACCGCGTCGTCATGGAGATCATCGACACGGAGGGCGTCTACGTCCGGGACCTGCACCAGATCATCACGGTGAGTTCTGCAAACTGACTTATTTACACACCAAAAGGATTAAAAAGAATAAAAACTAAAAAAAATTAAAGAAAAACTCAAAAGAAAAAAAATACGTAAAAATATTTTTTTTAAATGAATAAAAATAATTTCTGAAAAAGTATTTGTAAAAGAAAGGTAGAGATGATACTCTAGCTCGCTCTTCTCGTCGCTTTGTTCTTTTATACGTGGGGAAAATTCTTCTTTTATCGTGACGAGTTCTTTTGCTGCGGAGCAGACGGACAGGTGGACGGGGGCGGCATGTGGCATGGCCGTGATCCCCGCGTGGCGCCTCCTTTCCTATCCCCCCTTTGGCACGGCCGGGCGAGCCGCGCGCCGCCTCCGCCTACACGCCGATGGCGGTCGGCGACATCTATAAGCTCGAGTCGTGGCGGGGCGGGGCGGGGCTGCATCTGTGATGCGGCGGCGGCTGCGGCTATGGCGCCTCCTGCCGACCTGCCTCCTCCATCGCTAACCCGAGTGGTGTCCGTGATCTGTCAGTCCGTAGCCGGCGGGGTCTCTCCCCCCGGCAGTGCCTTTACCTCCTCCCTCCGCCCTCTCTGGAGCTCCGCGGAGGGCAGCAGTTTTGATCCAGCTGTTCTTCCTCCTCTTCTGCTGGATTATTAACGAGGAGGAAGTGGCTCCCGGCTGGGCCTCCAGGGCTGGCAGGGTGCCGGTCAAGCAGCAGCGCCTAATCGGAACAAATCTCTTCGCTCCGGACCGGGCATAGAGAGGCAAAGGCGCAAAGAGGGACTGTTATGGCCGTTGTTACCCAATTGGCGACATTGTTAGGAGCAGCGGAGATAGGAGGAGGCCCCTCTGGCCATGGGGCCGCAGGGTGGCAGGGTGGCGCTCGCACCTTCCGGGTCTTATCGGCGATCCTCCCCTACTTGGACTCCACGTGTGGTTGTGGTACAGTTTGATACGCAGTTGAGGCACTCGGTACCGCATTGAAGCGCAGAGTTCGCGGCGGAATCACCATCACACTTCGGCCCGAACTCACTGACATGGACGCGGAGTACCTGGGATGAGTCGAGCAGGTGCAAAGTATTGGTCAACCAACCGCAACCGTAATCAAAAGTTGTGTTGTTAAATTATTGTGGATGCCTAATTTTGTTATCAGTCCATGGCCTCCTGGTGAATCTGTGACGAAACGGTTGTAAAAATATTTCGCCGCACAATATTCTCATTTTGAGACATTTTTTGTTTGCCGTGTGAGTGGGCCAATGTGTTTCTCTGGCAGTTGTGCACTCGGATCGACAGTGCATCGCGCTGCGGAGACGCGACACTAACGCGCCGGTAAAGCCCCCCCCCCCCCTGGCGCGCAGCCAGCCAGCAGCCCCACCGCTGCCCCGCCTGAGCCGACGGCCCGGCGCGGGTAAATCTTTCTCGCGCAAACGTCTCTTCTCGTCTCGTCGCCGCACCGCACCGAGAGGAGAGCCCCGGCCGGGGCGCGAGCCGTCACATCCCATCCGACACCGTTAGACCAACGGGGAGAGGGCAAAAAAAAGAATTAAACGAGCACGAAATAAAACAAAACACTTGACCGCGTGTTTGAAAACTCCGTGAAGCGCACACACCGATGGTTACCGCGTTCGTCACTGTAAACTTAAGCGTATACAGGTTGTTGTTTTTTCTCGATTTCCCTCGTTAAAAATTTATTTAGATATTTTTCTGTATTTTTCCGATGTTTATTGAATTTTTGTATAATTTTTCCGTTTTTTCCAATTTTTTTCTGATTGTTTTCAATTTTTTTATTTATTTATTTATTTATATTTCTGATAAGTTCCTGTACACAGGAACTTCCCCCTTTGGGCACACAATAGAGCCTTGCAAAGAGCGAGCTACGCGAGCTAGGCCCCTCTTGCTCGACGGGTGAGAGGGGGGGGGGGGTCGCGTAGCTCGCGCTCTTTGCGGTGCGCTAGCACACTCGCTTTGCGATTAGTATTTGACGTACTCCACGACGTTGAGGAGGGTCCCTGACGCCCCGCTGCGCTCGCTCATTGAGCGATCCCGGCCGACGCCGATAAGGGCGTCACGACGCCCCCGCAGAGCGCAGTCACGACGACGGCCGCGCCGCCCTCGGGGTCGCCTTTTGCGCGCGACGTCGAACGGATTATTTATTTATATTTGCGTGTTTATTTATTATTCGCGGTTATGAAACGCCGGCCGCGCATAGCGAAAGGGGTTCATTTATGGCCGTTGTTGTGTGCGCGGTTATCGCGTTCGAAAACGCGTGGGAAACGTTTCGCGAAATATAAGGGGGTTAAAGCTAAAATAATATCCAGCAATAGCATCTCACGTCAACTTTTGGGAATTACACCATGGTAAACCAAAAGTCTCCCCTGCGACAAAGAAACAAATGTAAAGTAAAGTGTTTGCTGGCTTTTAAAAGTACAATCATGTTTCTGTCTTCTTTTTTTTTTCGGGACAGTGTCTCCGTCCATCACCTGTACCCATACGGTGGAAAGGCGCGAGATTGTCGACCCTTCCTGTGTATAGCCGCGAGACGTGCGGCTGGTCCTGCGGAGGCTGCACTTCGCGGTGCACTATCCCCCCCCCTCGGCGGCCCATTTGTTTACTTACTGTGGGCAACAAAGATGGCGCCGGCGAGGGGCATAAAAGCCGCTAATAAATCCCCGCGTTATTACTCGGCTACGCCACGCCACGCCACGCGTCGTGCAGAATGCGCATCACGGCGAGCAGGACGCACGACCGGGGGAAGGGAAGACCGGCGACCGCACAACGCCATAGGACACAGCCGTGTCGCTCGTCACGGTCCGAAATACGTTATTATTGCCAAAAATAGAATTATTACCCCGCGATGCTCACTATCTGCGACAGATGAATGTGCGATAATAATATTTATGACGGGAAGATCAATAGTGGCGTAGGCGGCGCGTGGAGGAGTAGCTCTACAAACAGAAATCAATCTCGCGTTCAATACTGCGTGCGGAATTGTTCTCCTGTGCAAAAGTATGCACGCCAGTCGTGTCACACACAAAAAAGAGTGTGTGACAACCGGTGACCACTATGTCACACACTCTTTTGTGTCGCACAAGTTTACACTACTTTTAACTATCACACACGGTTGTCACACACTTTTCCACCTGCGTGACACATTAGTCACACTTTTTTTTTTGCCTGTAAAACATTTCGGCGCGAACTTTAAAGTGCGTATGTGTCCCTCGCGGTTATGGGGAGAAAGGCGTCGCAACGGCCGCGGGCTCATGCTTTCGGGGAGCACTGCGCGTGTGTACGAGGGAGACGGAAGACGGCAAGGGTCAGGTATCCGCTATATATGCCTTTCTTTTCCCCCGCGCCGCACACTAGGACAGAGAGAGGGAAAGAGAGACATAGAGAGGGAGAGGGAGGGAGAGAGAGGGAAAGAGAGACATAGAGAGGGAGAGAGAGAGAGAGGGCGAGTGCAGCAAGGGCCCAGCCTAGGGGAGGTCTATTAACGCCACTGGCCGGCCCGGACCAGCCGGTCCACAATACGGTACTCGTGACTGAGAATAATCCGGAGGTGCTCGTGTGAGTGTGTGTGTGTGTGTG